TCCAGACTAGCTTGGGCTACATGGTAAGTCTCAATAAAGAATAACAACAACAACAACAACAACAAAAACAAAGAGTGGTGTGGTTCATGTCTGAGATCCCAGCACACAAGAGGTTGATGTAGGAAGGTCATTGCAGGTTTAAGGCCAGCCTGGATGACCTAGTGAGTCACCTGGAGGTGACTAGCCTACACCCTGGGTTATAGAGTAAGACCCTGTCTCAGAAACCTCCAATCAGCCAAACAAGAAACAAGCAAGAGAATCGGAGGGAGTGTGCCCATGCTCAGAACTCATGAAGGCTCCTGTGGTGATGTGGCTATGAGAGAAAGCTCTTGGCCTCATTGTCTGAATTTGACTCTTCTCTGGCTGGCAGGCTGTCTGTCTGGATTATCTCCCCATTATTCACATGCTTCTTATCCACCTGTGAAAGCTACGCTGTCAGCCCAGATGCTTGTCCACAGATGACTGAAATATGGCCTGTCCTCAGAGGAGTATGACTCAGTCACAGAAAGGAAGGAAGGGTGGGGACATTGCGCTAGCCCAGCAGCCTGGAGAGAGGCCCTAGGGTCTATCCCCAGCTCTGGATAAAACAAAACAAACAAAATTCTTGACCAAAGCTGTGGCAGCTCACACCTATAATCTCAGCTCTCAGGAGGCTGAGATGAGAGGATGATAAGATAGGAGCATGGTAAGTTCAAGGCCAGCCTTGGCTATGTAGCAAGAAAGTCAAAAAAGAAAAGAAAAGAAAAAGAATAATTGCAACAGAGATAGCTAGGTTTTATGTGTGCTTGCTGTTCTTACAGAGGACTGGAATTCAATTCCCAGCCCCCATGTTGGGTGGCTCACTACTGCTTCTAATTCCAGGTCCACACACACACACACACACACACACACACACACACACACACACACACTTTAAAATAAAATACATTCCTCCCTCCACGTCCCCACACACACACACACACACACACACACACACACACACACACACACTTTAAAATAAAATACATTTTAAAGTGAAATGAAACAGAAGAGGGGACGGTATGGCCACCCATCTGTGACAGGGCCAGAATTCACCAGGGTGGATCTGTGAAAGCACCTGCACTGCCTGCTGAGCCGCTCAGCCCTGTGTGCCCCCTCACCCCAGGCTGAGGACCCTCCACTATTTAAAGTCTTCTCACCTTTATGTGACCTTTGGCTCACAGGTGACTCTGGGTGGAGTCCAGAACCCTTCATGGAAATGAAAAGACATGGGACAGGGTGGGGACCAGAGTGGTCAGGGACCAACTATGCAGGCCCCTGGGTCTGCCCCTCTAGACCCTGCTCCTGCCCAGTCAAGGCTGCAATGTCACCAGGAGCACTGTGTGTCATTGTGCAGGTTACAACCTAAGCAACTATGCACAGGGGCTCTGACTGTGACCTGGGTGGCCCAAGAGGGTCTCCAACAAGGAGGCCCTGGGCTGAGTGCTGAGAATTGAAGAGAGAACACAATTTTGTCAGGTGGTGGTGGTGCACACCTTTACTCCAAGCACTGGGGAGGCAGAGGCAGGTGGATCTCTGTGAGTTCAAGGTCAGCCTGGTGTACAGAATGAGTTCCAGGAAAGCCAGGGCTACAAAAAAGACAATCTGTCTCAAGAAATTAAACAAAACAAAAACAAAAAATTAACCAATCAACCAAAAAAAAAGCAAACAACCCCCCCAAAACCCCCCAAAAGCAAACAAAACAACAAAAAAAGAGTGCAGCCTAGACCCTAGATTCCAGGACACTGGGGGACAGATGAGATAGCCTTCAGCAGCCAGGGCAGGCTGAGAGGAGAGACTGCTTCGGCTTGTAGACACCCTTCTGGGAGTGGCAGTGTTGTGAAGCCATACTGTTACGATGGTTACACAGTCTTGCAAATGTGCTGAGATCTGCTGAACTGCAACAGTAAGATGGTTATAGTGGACATTCTCATGCTGTATGTTTTTATTTTACTGTGTGTGTGTGTGTGTGTGTGTGTGTGTGTGCGCGCGCGCGCGCGCGTGTGCATGTGTGCATGAGGATACAGATGCTTGTGTGCGCAAATGTATGTGGAAGCTGGTATCTTCTTCCTTTCTGTTGTTTTGTTTTCTTGAGACAGCTGTACTGGCTAGTTTTATCTCAACCTGACACAAGCTGAAGTCATCTGAGAGGAGGGAACCTCAATTAAGAAAATGCCTCCATAAGATCTGGCTGTAGGCAAACCTATAAGGCATTTTCTTAATTAGTGTTTGATGGGGGAGGGCCCAGCCTGTTGTAGGTGGTGCCATCCCTAGGATGGTGGTCCTGGGTTCTATAAGAAAGCAGGCTGAGTAAGCCATGAGGAGCAAGCCAGTAAGCAGCACCCCTCCATAGCTCCTGCCTCCAGGTTCCTGCCCTGAGTGAGTTCCTTTTCTGACTTCCTTCAGTGATGAACAGTGTTATGAAAGTGTAAGCCAAATACACCCTTTCCTCCCCAAGTTGCTTTTGGTCATAGTGTTTCATCACAGTAATAGTAACCAATAACAAAGACACAGGGTTTCTCTGTGTAGCCCTGGCTATCCTGGAATTCCTTCTGTAGAGCAGGCTGGCCTCAAATTCAGAGATCCACCTGTCTCTGCCTCCCAAGTTCTGGGATTAGAGGCATGTGCTACCACATCCGGCTAGGTGTCTTTTTGAGAACGTCCCACTTTACACTTTGAGATGGGGTCTCTCACTTGAATCCAAAGCTCACTAATTCTGTTAGTAAGCTTGCTTCAGGGATCTCTGTCTTCTGCACACATGCTGAGGTTACAGGTGGGTGGCCACTCCTGCCTGACACTCGCATGCACTCTAGGGAGTCCTGTCCCAATGCTCACACTTGCTTAGCGGGTGCTGTTACCCACTGGGCTATCTCCCTAGACTCAAGTTACTGATTTACTATTTATACGTATTAAGACTTACTTTTCGTTTATTTACTCGTTCGTGTTCATGTGAATGTATGCGATGTGTGCAGGTACTCTTGGAAGCCAGAAAAGGGTATTGGGTCCTCTGCAAGAGCAGCAAGCACTCTTAACCAGTGACCCATCTTCCCAGTCCCTATTTATTTATTTTTTGAGGCAGGGCTTAATGTAGCCCAGGCTGGCCTCAAACTTGCTATGTAGCAAAGATGGCCTTGAACTTCTGATCCTCTTGTTTCCATTTCTGAGTGCTGATTTTACAGATGGAGGTACTTGTGATCCAGTGCGTGGAATTCAGATTTTCATGGGAGTGGCAAACACTCCCAACGCTCCAGGTCTCGGTTTTTGTTTTAATTGGGGTGAATTTTATAGAACATTAATCAGCCACCTTAGTGCTTAATACAGCACAGTGTTCTGCCAAGCTGTTTTGGGGACTAAGCGCATTAGTATTTGAAAGTTGTTCTGGAAGGGTATGTACAAATGGAGTGGTAGGGATAACTAGAAGAACAGAGCTTGGAAGAGGTTGTTTGTGAGTGGAGGTGGTGATATATAAATTCACATCCTTTGCACTAGGGTAGGAGGGAGCTCAGTTCACACAGGCATCCCCTTTCCTCAGATTTTCCTGAACCCAACATGTCACCCACTCTTTGTCCTAGAGCAGTGACATCTCCCCTCAAGTTTTGGAGCAGAGAAGGTTGTGACTTAATCGTGGTGCTGGGAAAATACCAGCTGGTGTTGTTACAGTCATTGTGTGTTTTGCTGATCCCAGGGCAAAGAACAGGTCCCCTCATAGAGTCCAGCTAGGATACGACACCCGGGACCTAACAATCACCTGTGGCAACTTGGTTTGTCTTTTGCTGCCACCCTGTGGTAAGTCTGGGAATTTCGACTCCTATTTCTGTACTTTATAACCTAGCACATGCTGTCTGCTAAGTCCTGGTAAGATCTCTTGCGGCTACCTGGACAGCCACAAGAGGATGGCAACGATGCCCGAGCCATCTCCTTTATTCTTGCAAGGTGAAACAGCAGATTGGGAAAAAGGGAGGGCAACCTGGGAGTGAGGCTGGTCTCTGGGCAGGGTTTGGATGCGGCTGAAGTCAGAAGAATGGGCAAATGCCTCCCTCCCAGAGTGACCCCATGCACTCCTTTCCTGATTATCTCCTCCTCAGCACGTTTCACTATGTCTAAATGATAAAATAATAAATATTACTTTATTTTTAAGATTTATTTTTTAAATTATGTGCACGTGTAGGTATATGCACATTAGTGCAGGTGTCTGTAGAGGTCAGAGGAGCTGGTTCCCCCTAGGGTGGGGCTACAGAACGTTGTGAGCGCTTGACCTGGGTGCTGGGAATCAAACTCCGCTCTTCTGGGGAGCAGTACCTGTTTTAAGTGCTGAGCTCTCTCTCCAGCCTGCCGAATTTATTTAAATTTATTTAACGTCCGAGGGCTTGACAGTGGGCGCTCTGTAAAGGTGTGAAGAGCGAATAAACAATGCATGCGGAAAGGTTGGGCTGGACCACTGCAGCCTCTGAAGTGAGACCAGGTAGAGGAGCTGAGCTCAAGGTCAGGAGTCAACCCGGCGTGGTGGAGCACATCTGTAATCCCAGCACTAGGGAGGTTGAGGAAGTATAGCTGTGAGTTTGAGGGTGGACTGGTCTACAGTGTGAGTTCCATCTCAAAACAAACCAAACAACAACAAAAAGTTCAGGTGCACCGGGATGAAGGAGAGGTTACACACACAAAGAGGCTGCTCTGAACTAGGCAAGTAGTGCGCTGTTCCATGGGCAGGTTCCCTAGTAGGAGGGAAGGGGCGTGACCTGGGGGGGATGTGTCCTCATTGGGGAGGAGATAGGGCTGGAGGCGGAGTCTTCGCTGAGTCTGGGTGACCGTGGACGGGTTCAATATGGGCGGGGCTTTCCCGAGATGTGACCAATTGGGAGCAAGGGCGGGGCTGAAGGCGCAACCAAGCGAGGGACGTGTAAATACCAGGGGCAGGGCTTAAGACAGGGGGCAGAGTCTGACCGAGTGGGTTGGGACCAGACCAATCAGGGAGCAAGGCAAGCCTGGAGAGGCGGGGTCAAGCCAGGCCAAGTTCTCCCGCTGTCCCGGGTCCTGGAGCTCTCCAGGCCGGGCACGTCTGTCATCGCTCTGGCCTCTCTTTTAAGGGCCGGGCCACTGCATATGTAGGATTGAACAAGAGGCTGGTGCCAGGCGGAGGCTGTTGAGCTCCAAGGCTCTGCCCTCCGGTCAAGGTGCCTGCTGGGACTTTGGCGAGCTCAGCTCCCTGGTCAAGCAGGTGCCAGAACACTGCGCTGTGTCTCCAGTAGCTCTGAGGGTGAGCCAGTTTGTGTGGGACCTGCGCGTGCATGCATGCATGCATGCTTGAATAGCTTTGTGTGGGTGCGCACTGTATGCACCTGGGGGAATAGTGTGCGTGTGTGTGGAGTTGCTACAGGGAGCTAAGTGTCTGTGCAAAGTTCTGTGCTGCGTGTACAAGGCCTGTTCTGTGTGGGAGTGGAGTGCAGGGAAAATGTACAGAAGAGTGCATGTGTCAGGGTATCATGGAGTAAGATGAAACAGCAGGTACAAAAATTCTGGGTGCAGGGGGGCAATAGGGCAGGATATCCCTGGAAAACCATGAGGACAATCGTGGGAATGTAAGAATTGAAATGTCTGTGCCTGTTTGAGTGGGTGGCATTGAGAGCGCTTCTGGAGGCCTCTGGAAGAATGGATATGGGGAGATGGCATGAAGTGCTGATTGCTTTCAGGGGGTAAGTCTGGGTAGGGATAGCGGGTACTGGATCTGGCCTGGATCAGCTGCAAATTCTATCAGTTTCTTACTTTTAGATTGGGAGAAGAGTGGACAGGGTTACTGAGGAATGCAGCTGTCCTGATAGTGTATGCTTCGTGTGAAGGGAGCTGCCACCTCATTAGTAAATCTTTATTCCCAGGCTCTGTGCTCACCCTGTCCTGGTGGTGCCTGAGTTGGAACATGGTGCAAAAATACCAGTCTCCTGTCCGAGTGTACAAGTATCCATTTGAGCTGGTCATGGCGGTGAGTGACTCCTGGTTCTTGGGCTCTCTTGTAACTGGAGGTCAGTTACGGTGGGAAGAAGAGGGGCCATTTTAGACTATGGAAAGGGAAAGAATTACTGAGCTATTCAGCTGCCCTGACTTCTTTTCCTGGCCACCCCCTTCCATCTGTCATGACTCTTGGAACCCTGCCTAGAAGATAGAATGCAAGATCTAGTGTGGTGGTATGTGCCTGTAATCCCAGCATTCTAGAGGCTGGAGCAGGATGATCAGGAATTCAAAGTCATCCTGGGCTACATAGAAGCAAAAATAGGGAAAGTCGGTGTAGCCTTCAAGTCTGAGTATATAGATAAGAATGAGTGTGTCTTGTAGGAAGGCAGTTGAGTGCCTAGGACTGACCCCAGATTCTTGGCCTCCTGGACCCGGTCTTTGCACTGAGACCAGATCTGGGGCATGCCTTGGGTTCCTTCTTCGGGTTCCATCACTCTGCCTCCTGGAGCTTCAGTCTGTCCTTGGAGAAATAGGGGCAGTGGTACAGGCTTGTGGTGGAGAGAAGTGGCTGGTGTCTCCGAAGCCACGTGATTGACACATAGTAGGTACCTGTGACATATGGCATTCCCTGTTATCACACAAGGTCTAGAGCTGAAGGCAAAGCATAGTGGTGAATGCTTGCTGAGCTTTCAGAATGCTTTGAGTTCTATGCCTAGTGCACGTGCGCGCGCGCGCGCGCGCACACACACACACACACACACACACACACACACACACACAC